AAATGGTGAATCCAAGTCTCTAGAATTACATCATACAAGTATGAGGACTGTTTTAGTGCTTAGGGTGTGGATAAAAGCGTGTGACTAACCACATGTGTGTTGTCGGGAAACAAACCATCCTCCAGTGCTACTGTTTTCTGCTCCATTTGCTCTGATGAAGGAGTACTGATGTAACATTGGCATTTTCCTCGGAGTCACCGTGAGGCCATTGTGGGGGAAAATTTACAAGAGGAAATTCGGTTTGACACTAAGGAGGATGATAATCCAGGAAACAATTGTAATTTCTTAAGGTCTTAATTGTAGTTTGGATCTTTTAAACTGTAAAACATCTGTTGAATGTATTAAAATGATGATAGTTTAAATGTTTTTCTTAAAAATTTAATCTAATTTTAGGTTGTATTGCCAACTAGGCAGAAAATAATGACTACAACTTTTACTTCTTATTCTTTTCAAATTTATTTATTTATTTTTTAGTTGTTAGTTGCTCAGGCTGGGCTTGAACTTGTGATCTTTCTTCCTTAGCCTTTCCCGAATTGGGCAAGTACAAAAACAAGATAGAATTAAAACTCCACGGCATTTGTTTTCCACCAAAGGTTTTCCTGTGGCTCTGTCCTGGATCACCAGTTGGCCATACCCAACACAAGATTTAAAAAAAAATAATTAAGTGCATTGATGCAAGTTAGGTACCTACGATGATCACGTTCATCATAGGGAATTTGTACCTGTACATTACATACTTTAATTTGCCTTTTTTTCCTCTCTCATTTCCCTTCTTTCAATCTATCTTTCCCCATTTACAAAGCTTGTTTCTACTTTATCTTCTTAACATGTTTTCACTTCTTTCCTTTCCCTTTAAATTCATATTACCTAGGTATATACAATTTAACATTTTCATTCTTAATAGATAAAATTTTTCTTTAATGTCTATGAAATATTTTATATTGTTTTTGAAAGTCACATTAACAAAGGGTTTTTATTTATTTATTCTTAACATTAGTGATGATTTATTTTTTATGGAAAAAATAAAACAAAATTTCATTAAAAATAATAGAATAGCAATAGTTCATATGTTGCATATTGTTATCTTTAAAGTAGTTACTCAGAGTACAAAATACAGGCATAAGAAATTCTCCAAGTGGTATTAGCACAAACTTTTCAATGAACTAGGAGAAACTAGTAGTATAACTATCTTGTACTATTTTTTCCCTTCCTTCCGTTTCCCTTTCCCCCACCCTAGTACCTCTTTCCTTTTGAATAATTTCTTTCTATTTCACAGTGTCAATTGTACATTTTGGTCCTTATTTACTCTTTCAGTTTCTCACAGAAGGGAGACAATATCATGTTTACATATGTGAGTGTGATTTATTTCACTTATGAATATGGTGTCAAGTTGAATTAATTTACATATTAAATGCCTCATGTTCATCCTTCTTTATGGTTGAGTAGTGCTCCGCTTTTTAAAAAGATCACATCCTTTTTATTCATTCCTCAGTTGATGGGCATTTGGGTTCAGGTGAGCTTCAAACTTTTCTGAACCTCTCTCCTGCTTTACACTTCTTGAGATAACTAGAGACAAAAAAAAAAAAAGTTTTTGTAGAAAGAGGCTTCCGTCAGGCTCAGAATAGACCCAAGAGGCAGAGCCTCTTTGCCAGCACCCCTGCTCTGCTTAGAAAAGATCCAAAGAACTTTTCCAGTAACTTTCGGTGTTCACTTGAGATAAGGTTTCCACAGCAGGGCCTCCTTCGTGTCCCACACAGTTCACTTGTTAACAGTGGTACTGTTTCTTTTAAACAAGAACAGGTGGTGGGAGATGTCAGTAGGAGGTGGCAGGAGGGCAGGGGCAGCCTTAACAGTGCTCAGCGGCGCTGGCCCATCCTGTGAAGTCTCCAGGATCCATCGGGCCTCCAGCCAAGGTGGGCAGGGCTGGCAGCTGCACACCCCAGCCACAGTGGTCCTGCTCTTTCCTCCTGGTGAGCGGCCATGCAAGAGGAGTAGGTACAGCTTGTGACCTGGCAAGGGCCAGGACTTCTGTTACTTTGGTGATGACGAATCCTGAGGCATGGCTTGCCCAGTGCTGAAATTTAAAGCCACTTTTTCTTTTTATTTTGGGCCTGGCAGAATCAGGAGCATTATTCTTAGGAAACCAAACTTCCTCAAATACTTTTTTTTTAATAAACAGAATTTTTTCTGATAATTCAAGTAATACACATTTATTAAAATTTTGGAAACAATGGAAGTGTGAAAACTGGTATATGTGTACACAATTTAGACCACATGTCATACTCAGTGCATGTTGCCTTCCCACATTATGAGAATCTGTCTATCTGTACTTGATAGTTATACTATAACATCAAATAGTTGCGATGACTGAGTGGTAGTTTACCTGTTTTATTGGGTACACATTTTTGCCTAAGCCATTCTTGTTTGACAATGAGGCAGGTCCTACTTGTTGCCCCTCTAAACAGTGACATACATTTTTTAAAGAAAACAAAAACCTCTAATGATTTAACTGAGGGCAATTCCTAGCTATAATTGCTACTCTGGCAAGCGGAAGGTCTTTGTAGGGTTTTGGACCATGTCTTACATGTGCCCTCTGTCTTACACCTCAGGTGCCGGAAGCTGGAAATTACAGAAAAAGGTCATTAGTGGGTGAAAATTTTTGGTTTTGGCTACTTACAGTTCTTTTATGAACCATATTTTTTCATTTGTGTTATATGGAAATTATAGTGTAAGTAATATGTAATAATATTAATTTTGTTTAATATATAATGTAAAGAAAGACTTTTTCTCTTTATTTCTCTCTTCTTCCTTTCTTCCTTTCATGGTGTTGGGAATTAATGGATGCACAATGAGCTATATCCCCAGTCTTTTTTTATTTTTTTATTTTGAGACAAGATCTCACTAAATTGCCCAGGCTTGGTTAGAATTCATGATTGCCCTGCTTAAGCCTTCCATTGGACAAGGTCGCAGGCATGTGCCACCATGCCCTGTTTACCTGCCCTGTTCATAGTTTGCTTTATAAACCTAAATATTTTTGCCCCCTGGTGTTGCAAAGTCCCTGGTCAACTGGGTGCAGTTCCCACTGATCTGAAGATGCTTCAGGGCAGAGGTCAAGGAACAAGGGCTGCAGAGTGTAGCTAGATGGTCTTGGCTCCCTTTCACCGCACTAGATGGAGTGGACTGCAGCCAGCTGATATGGACAGAGGTGCAGTTGTGGCTGCTGCTCTTTCTCTGGGTGTATCTGAGTACTATCGTTTTTGATCTAAGCCAGCCAGCCAGCCTGTCCTCCCTCCTTCTTTCTCTACCTCGCTTTGCTTCTTCTTTCTTTCCTCACTTCTCTCTTCACTCTGAAAAGGCTTCATCATATGCTTTGGGGCTGATGTGGGTTCCACTGGGCAGGTTTTGGGCCATAGGTGTGCAGTGTTTTCTCTGAGCTATTAGGCCAGTTACTTAGTGATCACTCACAGGGCTCTTAGGCCAAAGGGACATTCTAGAACATGCATGTGTAGCACAAGCTAGGGAGAGAGACAGAGTATTTGTGTATGCGCTGTGGAAGCAGGGTGCTTCAGAGGACTACAGATACCCACAGCTGGGTCACAGGAAGCTTGGGGCTGAAGATGGGATTAAAGAGGATGTAAGGCCAAGATGTGCCAGAGTTGACTGGATCACTAATGGACTTTGGCACTGTCAGGTAAGGAGCAAATATCCCTTAGTGTGTTTAGCAGGTTTCTTCCCTAGGCCTGACTCAGAGTGTTCTTATTCAGGCACCCGCCCCCACCCCCCAGCTTCTAGACTATAAAAGTAGAGAACTTGGCTTTGAAACACTATTAGGGTGACTTCTAGGACAGAGAGGACCACAGAGCAGGAATTAATGGATGCACAATGAGCTATATCCCCAGTCTTTTTTTATTTTTTTATTTTGAGACAAGATCTCACTAAATTGCCCAGGCAATAAGTACACTCATATAATGTTTATCCTTTTGCATTTGACTTATTTCACTTAATATGTTAAAGAATCATACTTGTTGTAGTGTGCAGCATAATTTCATTCTTCCTAAAGATCCAATAATATTCCATTGTGTGCACATGTTACCTTTTTCTATAGGTATGTTAGAGGATATTATGTTTCCTTGCACTTTTTGGCTATTGCAAACGGGGCTGCTATGAACATGTGTGTGTAAGTACCTACTGTATTTGTATCTCTGTCTTCAATTCTTTGGGAGTATATATCTAGAAGAGGATTCTATAAATTTTTGAAGCTTTAGTTTTATTTTAAGGAATATCCTGGCTTAGATCTGACTTACCAGTTTTTGCTTTATTATCATTTTCACCAGTGGCTTCACATGTGAAGTTATGGTCTTAATATGGACTGGAAAGTCATGGTCAGTTGAGTGCTGCATTTGAGTATAAAGTCTAGGCAGCAATTTCTTTCCCTGTAGGATCCTACTGAAGTTCTGACTTATATGGATTGGAATTTTAATGATACAGAATTCAAAAACTAATATTAAACATAGTGAGCTGGGCTGAATACAAACGTAAACAAACCAGGGCAGCGTGGTGATTGTTAATAATCTTTGAGGCCAGACTTCTGTTTTTCTTCGGTGAGCTAAGACATTCTCTTCAGATTTAAGTCTCACCATTGTACCCCAGCTCTTTACCAAAGAGGTTGTGCTATTTGTTGTACTGAGGCTTTCTTTTCTTCTTCCTGTCTCTTGACAACTTTTCTGCTAAGTTTTGTATCCACTGACACCCCAGTCTCTGTCTCTTAGTGAGAAAACCTAGAACAGTTTTTCATATTTGGATGGCAATAGACTGCAAGAGAGTCTAAAACATGTTAGTGGGAAGCCAGGCCCTGGCTGGGTGTGGCCTTTTCTTACCCCAATACAGTGTCTTTCTTGATGACCATGCAGGGGAGTTAAAGCTGCTGTTCTAGTGTACAGTAAGGGACTGTTAATTATGGCAGCAAACACTGGCTGGAGGAGTAGGAGACATCCACAGAACAAGGTCAGAAAAAACTTTATTGTTTCGCAGGGTCAGACACAGATCATAACCAGGCAGATGCTGCAAGCCTTTTCTGTAGGCAGATACCAGGGTGAGTATTTTGTGGGCTCCTAGAGAACAGGCAGGAAGAGCCTGCAGAGAACTCAGAACTTTCGCAAGAAACATCTCAGTGCTAAAGCAGATTGAAGTATATGGAAAAAACTGCAAGGGACAGAGAACAGTCCTTGGACTTTGTCTCCTTTAAAACTTCTCATCACCGCTGCTAAGTTCAGCAGCAGCCCCCAGAGCTGTGGCCACAGCCAGAGCCCCCAGACTGCCGACCACTGTCACCATCACAGGAGTCTGAACTCCGCAGCCTGCACCTGTGGGACCTGCGGCGCCTGTGGTGGCTCAGGCAGCAGCCTCCCTCAGAGCTGGAGCTGAGGCCACCGCAGCCCCCAGAGCAAGGAGCAGAGCAGGAGGAGGCAGCAGGCAGACACTGTGCTGGGCTCTTCTTGGGGCATTTGGGGGAAGGGCACTTGGGAGGGGGTTGGCACTGCTGCTGGTTCTGCTGGCAGGACATCTTGGTGCAGTCAGGGAACCTGGGGAGAGCAAGGAAAAAGCTCAGTGGAAAAGCTTTAGGCCAATGGTGTCTCTGGGATGATCTTATACCATCCTTGCCCCCAACTCTAGCTGCTTCCTTAAGTAGCCAGGAAAAAGGAAAATTTATGTCCCTTTAAATTGAATGGAAATACATTTCCTTCCACTTTACTGTGGAAGAGCAGGTGACTGCTCTAACTGGACTTGGAGTCCTCTGTATTCCCAGAAACAGTGAAGTGAATTCCCAGCATTGGAGAGTAGCTCCTGCAGAGCTCTCTGGGCCCCTGTGTGTCTCTCAGGAAGGAGCTAGGGGGCGCTGACAGCAAGGACTCAAGCATCCCACAGAGCTTCCCTGCCCCCTGTCCCCATCCCCTGCCTCCTGCTGCCCTCCAGGTTCTGCCCTCTGCTGCCTCCATGGCAGACACCTCTGCTTCCCTCTTCCCTCTGTAGTCTGTGCTTATCTTCCCACGCTCTCCTGACAGGGCATCTGTGCCCTGCTGGATGCTTACCGGATTCAGAGGAGGCAGCAAGAGGAAGAAGCCTGTGGCTGAGGAGGCTCTGTCTGAGGAGGCCAGGGCAGGAGCCCTTTTATCCTGTGTAGGGTCAGTGATGCACAGGCTTAGCATGCTGCTGCTTTCACGCCCAGTGGAAGTGACGGAGCCCAGCAGTCCCATCCCAAGTCTCCAACCTCTTCCTCATGCTTGCCATGACAACTGGCATGAGAGAATCAGTAAATCTTCATTGATTACTTTCCAGATATGATGAAAATCTGACATTTCTCTCTTCTCAGATGAGATAATTTAAACAGTGTCTTTTTGGGAGGGGCAATGTAATAAAGAGATGCATGTGACACATTTCCTGCTTGAGTATTTCAAGTTTGACTGTAATAACAAAGAAATAAACATGTATGTCTGATGCTGGTGATTCACCTGTGATATTACTGTCTCCAAATATATCTATTGCTATGCATGTTCTCAAAGAGAACGAGATTTTTAAATCTAGTCAGATACTAACTCTTGAGGATGTTGGGTGATCTGAGACCACTGAACCCCAGGGATGAATGTAATAGGTAATGGATGGAATCATGCCTTTTCTGAGGTAGGTGGAGTCCCTCAGAGAACTAAAATCGAAGTAGGATTATGTGTGTGAGTAGACAAAATTGTGAAAGAACCTATGAGAGAGAGCTGAGATTACAAGACTCATGCTTAATATGAAAAAGCTCAATTTGTCCATATTTATCCTCCTGAAAGATTTATGATATTGGAGCATGGAGTATTTAAGAGAATTGATGGGAGTCGTGAAGGTGATTTATTTTGTTGTTTATGAAGGTGGTGATATGTGGATCCCGAGGAAACAAATCTGATAATTGCTAAGATTTCTGTAGAATGACTTTTGTGAAGCCTTAATTTTATTTTCTGCCTGCTACTGGAGATGAAATTCGCAGTAAATTCTCTAAGTATCACAACAGAGGCATTTTGATCTTTGTTTCCAACAAAGTTACAGTCAGAATTAGAACTTTATTCATAAATTATAGTTTTTCAATGAAGCATTTTATAGTTCATGCATGTGTTCTCTGTACTTTATAGTTTGTGACTTTTGGATGCAAAATTTCGAAAAAGTGTACATAGTCTTCAACTTGCATGCTTTAAAGTATGGCAGTTCCATGATTTTGTTTTGAGTCACCCAAGGGAGAATGACTGGCATTGATCTTAAAGAATATGGATTGGCATGAAAGGAAGGGAAAGGGTTAGAGTTGGTATTGGCTCTCTTCTCTGATATTCTTTGGTCTCCAAGAATCTCTTGTTAGGAATATATTTTAATGCTTAATTTCAGAACTATGTTGGATGTGGATTTATTTCACACTGTTTAAGTTCTACCACTGCTAGTATGTTGGAAGAAGTTACTCATGGTGGGTGAAGAAGGTCCCTTTTTATACCAGCCTGGATGATGACAGTGACAAAGGACACAAGGTGTTGAACAGCACATCACAGTTTTCTCCAGTTTTTCTACTGATGGAGGCCAGAGACGGTAAGATGGACAGAAGACCAATCTAATGAAAACATGCTAATTTGGAATGCTGGACCTTCGAAAGGTTCTATCCTGGTCCCTTGTTGGGGTCTACCTTCTGTCTTTACTCCTAACTTCAATATTTACCCTGGACTCCTTCTGCCACCAGTAGCAATTCTCCCCAGTGAGTTATCTTCCACATAAGTCATTCATTTCATATTACATCATTTAGCAAACTTATTGAACAACATGAATAGTCCCCATCCAGAGAGCATGAGGAAAACTTTTGTTGTAGAGCAATTATGTTGCTGGGTTTGTTGCAGTTGTACAGATGGCTCACTCTCTGGGATGTGTAGGCGTGTGTTGGTGAATTTGGAGGAAGACTTGGGGAACTGATGTTCTGCTCTGGTTGGGAGAGGTCAGAAAGCAGAGGCACTTCTATGATAGAGGATCTTAATACTTTTTAACTAGAGAGCAGAGGCAATGAGATAGGGCTAAAGCTGTCATTGGTGGAGAAGTGGAAGTCTCTAGTAGAGCTAAGAAAAGGGGACAGTTTGGTCATTTTTGTTGTTTGGACAATAATCTTATATTGTTGATACTTAGAGCAGTTTTGTTTTTGTCTTGTTCCCTCAGAATCACAAAGTTATCTGGTCTGATTTTGGAATTTTGTGAAACTGTTTATACTCAATATCAGAAGATCATCATCCTAGCTAGTAAAGCCACACCAGCTGCTGCTAGCACTCTAGGGCCACTCCTCTTTTCTTAGCAAAGATTTTGTGTCAGGTGTCATGGCCAGGAGTAGGGATGCAGCAGTTAGCAGAGTCTCAGTATATCTATTCTGAGTTAACAGGCTAGAAAATGGAACAAATGTAGAAAAATTGATTATATCAGGGATAAAGGATACTCAAAGGAGTTCCAAGTGGCTCGGGGCATGTAAAATATATATGGGAGTCTGGACACTGGGGAAGTGAGCTTTGTTTCTTGAGGTCATTAGAAGGAAGCCTTGTCTCACATGTGCCTCCCCATAGGAGCAGCAGGAGCTGGGAAGAGGAAGCAACACTTGACAAAGGGACACACATCACATTTTGGGAAAGTTTCCAAGGATCAAAATCTCTTTGCTGTTGCTTTAAATGACTAGTTTTATCTCTTTTGTTTCATTTTTTTCTCTTTTATTGATACGTGCTTGTAGCGCATAATGTTTATATTCCCTGGTTAGAGCTGATACACATATCTTAATACTTTTTCCCATCTCCTTTCCCTCATTTCTTTTCTCTCCTCCATCTCTTTTATGAAACACAAGGGGATGTCTGTAAGCTTTCCTCTAGCCCCTTCCCTGACTGCCTGTCTTAGAAGTTTTCTCATATGATGAGGAGAGGGAGCTCATCAATCCCACCTTCACCTTGATGAACTGCTCCTGTCTCTCATTCCTTTCCTTCATGAAACCAGGTATACTGCAGGCACCATGTGAAGACAGACAGTATCTACAAAGTGATAGTCTCCTCACTTATCCCAAAGCACAAGAGAGTCAGTTTCAGGAGTCTCATACTGAGGAACCCTGGCATTCTATGGTTTCACAACATTGAGGAAATATAGACGGATGAAGGCTGGAAGAATCTCATGAGTTAGTCATTCTAATTGGTGATGAGAAAACAAGCAGTGCTGGATCTCAGGTTTAGCTCCTTGGAGCGCATGTCAGAAATCTAGGATGAATCAACAAGCACAAAGTTCTTCTCCCTTTGCATACAGTTCAAAGTGCCTTTCCAGTTCTGTCCCTCCCATATCTGTAACAATTACATTCTGTGACAAGCAGCTGAGACACTGCTTAGGAAAAGAGGGAGAAGTAGACAGACAGTGCCATGTACCTTTAATGGCAATTTGGAGGAATCCACCTAGGTATATATATAGATTCTAATTTCCTCCTGAGATTAAATTTTAGTATTTTGAGGTATATACTCCTCCCTAACACCTGAGAATGCTTGAGTGCTTTAAGTATGTAAGAATGGGTTGCAACAGAATTTTTTTCAGTGTTGGATATTGGCTGAAACTAAAAATAATAGTTACCACTTATTCTCTTAAAGTAAGCCTAGAGGAAGCCAAAGAACATCTCTGTAGCACTTGCTACAGAACAGTGAAGTTCTCTTTATTCATCTTAACTGGATATTGAGAAGGTTGAATTCTGAAGAGGGCTTTTTAGATAGGGAATTAATGTCTTAGAGGAGAGTACTGTGGTTTCTCCTCTATTTTGTATAGGAGAGAGGAGGTAGTTATCCTCTAACATAGAAATCAATTTAAGGCAAGATTCGCAGTGACAATTTATAGGTATAAATTGTCTAAGGTCCCTAAAAGAAAGAGATACAGGTGTATTCATTTATTTTTTGATCCCATAGATTGAACCCAGGGCCTTCAGACTGAGATACATTCATAGCATATCCTCCCCTCATTAGTTTTTCTTTGAGACAAAGTCTTGCTGTGTAGTTCAGGGTGACCTTGAGTTTACTCTGTAGTCCAAGCTGACCTTGAATTTATGGAGAACCTCCTGCCTCAGCTTACTGAGTGCTGGGATTACAGTCATGTGTCACCACACCAGGCCACCATACCTGGCCCTTAGTTTTTATTTTGAAACAGGGTCTCACTATGTTGCCCAGTGTGGGCTTGAATGTGTGATCTTCCTGCCTCATCCTCCCAGAGTGCAGGAATTATAAGTGGTATAGATATTCATCTCCACACCTGACTGAATGTCTGCTTTGATAACACACTTGCTGATGTGCCTTCTGATCCTGTTGTTGAAAGAAGACAACAAACCAAAGAGATAGGACAGAGTTTTAATATAAGGCAGCAGAGGATATCTGGGAAGGAAGATCAGCTTACAGTATTGCTAGTGTTGTGCTTTGGATGGTGGTCTGGTTGGTACAGTGGTTTCAGCATCAAGTAGTTGTGGCTTGTGGCAATGAAGATATGGGCTTAGGAAGAGCTCAGGTTGTACTGCACATCCTGTGTCTAGGAATTGTACCAGATTCCCTAAAATGACTAATTAAAGCACCCTGTAACATGGCCCTCATGTGGAGCCTGCCATACAGAAGGAGCAAGCAAGCCAACCACAGAGGAAGCTAGTGGTATAGTAAAATATGAAATACATTTCCCCTTCCCTTTCCCACCTCCCAGTACAGTGGGGGAGAAAGGGTACTCAGAAGAAATGTGGGAAGGAGGAGGAAGGAAGATGAAGAAGACGAACAGGAGGAGGAAGAAGAGAGGAGAGGGAGGAGGAGTGAAAAAATCAATTGCCTCTTCTAATTTAGTTCCTTTGAGGATCTATGGGCAGCGCTCAGGAAAGGGAGGATTTGAGTTTGAGGATTTTGAACAAAGTTAAATTTGGTTGCTCTAGATTTAATTATCCATGAGAGTAACTGAAAAATATGGGATTTCCTTGAAATACTGGCTTTCAGTCACTATAACAGAGGAGAAAACAATGACTAGGAAACAACAGCAACAACAAGAACAACAACAACAATAACAATTGGTTCTTGTTTTATCACACTGAGTTTGGAACATTTAATGCATGGGCTAAACGACTCTAAGCAGATCTTTTTTACAAGAGGGACATTTTGTAGAATTTCTGCCTTTTCTA